ATACACCTCGATATTACAATTCTTTGACTATACGTTACGACACCATTGCATATCGAGTACGCGTTTCTTTTTTACTTCCATTCAATTGCTTTTTTATTTTCGCAATAAAGATATCATTTTCCGGATTTTCTTTTATTTCTTCAAGTGTCACTTGTAACTCAAGTACTACTTGCAATTTTTTTCATTTTCCTTTCGCTTTTTAGTGCTGCGACGACCGTGAGATCCAATGGTATTTTTAGGTATTAATCTAGATAATCCATGTTCTAATTTTTAGATAATTGATATTTCATAGTAAAATCATAGTTTAACAGGATGGTATCCCTGTTTTGTAGTCTATTAGCTAGATGAGTAGGTATAGCTTTCTTTGAACCATATATTGTTAATAAATAGCTGTGGTCTGTTTGCAATGTAAAATTTCTTCCATGAATAATTTTATGAAATTTCTTTACACCAAATATAATTACTAGAGCTTCTTTTTCTATCTGGCTGTAATTTTTCTCTGTTGGTAGAAGTGTGTGTAAAGCATGAGCGAAGGCTTTCATTTTACCGCCATCATATTTTTGTAAAATCGCCGCTCTACTATCGTACTCACTAGCATCTTACGCCACTATAATTTCTGCTTTTGGGTCGTAAGTCCTAATGATAACTCTGACGTAAGTTCTTTGTTTTTATTTCGTTAAACGACTTTTGATATTTATCATTCCAATTCCACTTGACTCTTTTTTATGTAGACCGTTCAATGTAGCGCTTACCTTATGCATATTATGTTCATAAATTTGATAGTAATTATTCAGTTCTAAAAGACTTGTAACGTAGTCACGTGTGCTGGTGGTGGTATATTTTTAATTGCAGTTGCCATCGATGTATCTGGTTACATACCATATTTATCAATATTTTGACCAAAGGATTTAATTTTCGGCAAAAATAACTCTTCACTATGCTTGAATTTATATTCTCTTAGGTTTTCCAAAATAGTTTTCACATGTCCAACATGTTCTCTCGATACATCTATAATCAAAATGTCGTCTAGCTATGCCACTGCGAAATCGCAATCCGCAAGCATGGTATCCATGGATTGTTGAAAAATATCCCACAAGAAAGTCGGTTAAACTTATAAAATCCCCTGTGTGAATTTATGTTCGTTAATTTAGAACATCCATTTTCAATGTGAATTTGTAAATAGGATTCAAAGAGATCCAGCGATGAAAATGTTTTTTTTCGCAGTTAAAACTCTGGACTTTCTAATGAATAGTTATGTTCTTCTAAACTGTTTAATCCTGTCAAGAAATCCGCGCAAAGACGAATTTTATTATTTCTTTTCTTCATATGCACCGCTGGTGCAATCAATTGTCAATGGCTAATATTTTCTATTACACCAATTCTTTTGCGTTAACTTCTTCTAACGTTTCAAACGGTACACTCCGTTTCGGCTTAAATACTGGCGTCGAAGATATTACTTGAAAATCCGCCTTGGATTTTAAACACCGACCCAAGGCATTTGACAGATCTGGAAAACATTTTTTTATAATTTTTTTCTTGAGATTTCCGTTTTGACTTTTTAGATTAGACGCTTGTCCACTTACGATTTTAACAACAAACGTTTATCAGCAAATTTCAAAGTTCAAATAGTTGCATCCAGTTAGTTCCAAATAAATTTTTAGAATTTCTTAATTCATAAGCTTTAGTTTTTACATGCTTATTACGAAAAAGACATTGCGATTTATTTCTCAAAACAATAATTTATCTCCAGAAACTGAAATAGATACTTTGAAAGTCCTTTCTAATAAAGGTTTCCCAGTTTTCTTTGCATGTGGTTTCACTGATTATTGAAATATCACTACCTGTGTTCAGTAGCCTTTTCACATCCACATGATTAATTTTCACATTCACAAAATTCCTTTTCTTTTCTGTGACAATTTTTCTTCGATTGGTTTGGCAGTATCACTTTATATGTCCTTTTATACCACACTTGTAACTTGTAATTCCAAACAAGTATCTGTTCTCTTTTTTATTCATTTGTCTTTTGCTTGTACCAATGCACATTTTTGTTTTTGAATTTCTTCAGTATCGTATTTCAGATTTAATATTGTCTGGCAATTGTTCACTGTTTCTTGCAGTGCAATATTACAGTATTGTTCCATTTTTGTTAAAATTACCGCCCGTATTTCAGATCTTTTTAGCTGCTAAGACTTGCACGAAAATTAATCCTTTGAAACTGGCGTTATTTCCGTTATTCTAAATTTTTCACATTCTTTGTTGACGATCCCAGCTTACGTGGTAAAATATTCGTCCCATTTTTTTTTTTTTTTTTTTTGGTTAGATTCATGCACTTCTAACGAGCATTAAAGAGAGAGCTCTTGTCGCTAAAGATTTTCGTCAGAATGTGTACCGTGTCTTCAAACCCACATTCACCTGCTTTTCCCGGTAATATATAGTTGCAGTATTTTTCATATTCTGTGGGGGATATTTCTTCAGCAACAATCTCGTTTCTCCTCATCATCTCAGCCGCTGTCTTCATGACTGAATATTTTTTCATATCTAAGAAAATAGTCAATGTCGCATCAGGATTGTATATAAATTCTAATATGTTGTTTGGACAGCGTCTGGCGTAAGTCACGTTGAAGAATTTTTTGTTTTCTTCAGAATTTTATCCAATAATTCCTGTTGTTGTTTTTGTAGTTCTAATAACTGTTGATTTTGTTGTTGCTGCTGTTTGTGTTGTTGTTGAAACTGGTATGACTTTCAAAAATCCTTGTTACAACGGTTATAACTCGTAAAGGTTCCGAATCCCCGATACAAAGGTTGTAAAGTTTCAAATCGCTTGTCGCCATTATTTTAACACCACTATTATATGGCTGTTGTTATAGCATACTCTTACTTTATATAACTTACTTCGTGTAAGAATTCTCTATACGTAATGTTTTGGCTATTTGCCGTGGCGCCTTTATAGTTAGTCTAAAGACTGACTCTAAACGGGTAGGTATTTACCCAGTCCTCCCACTGAGATGAGATTAGACACAAGGTTGAGATAGATATCCTGGGCCGTTTGTCAAAATTTACCGAGCCTTCGCATTCATGGGATCGGGTACAATTCTTGTCTGCTTTTGTCATCCGAGTCTCTGTTCATAGACAGAGCTTTGAGTGAGTCACCATCTGCCAGAAGACAGACGTCTTGTCAGTCGCAAGCCAAACAGCAAACTGCCTGACTCCACACAGCTGGTATTTACTCAGTCCCTCCAATGAGATGAGATATATCTATATATATCGGGTATATATCGGGTATATATCGGGTATATGTACATTGCTTTTCTGATTTTCTCAGTCGAGTTGATGTCCGTAGACAGAAGCTCAGCTGAGTCTCCCTCTGTGCGAAGAGACCTTGACATTCGGAGCCAGGTAGCGAACCGTCTGATTACAAATGACTACTAGTCATACCTCTGACCTGAGACCTGGACTAATGCCATTTTGCATCGGCTTTAACAGGTGCCTCCGCAAAGAGAAATAGTTCGCTTCAAAATGCGTAGGAAGGCTGGAGGGGGGTGGGGGTTAAGAAATGGAAGTTAAAAGAGACCGTTTAAAAGCAAATAGTGAAAGGATGTTTTTGAGCGAAGGATTAATCTATCTACCCGAGCGTTAGGTCAGCTTTGCAAACTTTTACGGGTAGATAGATAAAGTGGTAAAATTTACTCCGAACTGCAAAGATACAAGTTCGATATTATATAAAGAGGGATGAACACGCTTCCAATGTAAATGTACATCGCTTCCTTTATTCACGGTTTCGCATTCCGTGGTCAGTCCAAGAAATAAATAATAAATTTCGCTTGTTAATGATGCCAAAAATATGTATATGTCAAAGAGAAATAGGAAAATGCTTCCTTTAAAAGAGATAATGGAAATCAGAGACTGAATAAAGAAAGAAAATACCGTATATGAGTTTGCTCGTTGCGCTGTATTCATGACTGAATATTTGTTCATATCTAACATATGACCTGATTTTTTAAAACCGCCGACGAAAAAAAAGGATTTTCAAAAGCAGCAAAGCAAGAAGCATTCATTTATTCTAAAGTTTAGTCACGCTGATTCCGAGATAAATTCTTCTTCTTTTTTAAATCCCTAAAACATCAGCAGAAAACATCCGTGATGTTAATACTTGATAAGCAGTTTGAAAGATAAATAGTGCTTCCTCTAAAATTCGCCATACACAGTAGACCTGTGATTCCATCTACTTTTTCGATATGAATCACAGATTTTTTTCTCCAATAAAACTTTACTTCGATGTCTTTGATTTTCAATACTATAATTTTTTTTTGTTATTTATGAAACCGATTGATTGTTTGTCTCTATCAGTTGGGTATTCCATTATTTTATTTCTGTGTGTTCTACATTTTCAGTGAAGACATCTATGATTGTCTTTTCAACGAAGCGACATGGCCATGATGTTGTTATGGAGTGGTTTCACAGTGGAGGCTTGTAGTTGTACTAAGTCGGCCCTAAAATAGGTTCGACGTACAAAACGTTAGGAACTTGATATAATAGGTAATGACGCAGAGAAATCTAGTGGTGGTCGCTGATACTTTAGTATCCGACTAACGGTCGTCCGGCCTCGACTGACTGACCAACTCACTCAGCTCTTTCTCGTTACTATTACTACTCCTACTTAGTATAGGTGGGAGAGTCTATTAACTATAGAATAGGTGTGTTCCACTATAACAGATGTAAAAATGTCTAAACAAATATAAAAGATTTTTCAAGGCAACATTTTGAAAGTTTATTATACTATATATGTGTAAGTAAATACGTTTTAGACACTTGAACACTGATAATCGTCATCAACACATTTGTACCATTGGCGTAATGTAACTTTTCTAGCCAGCAGTTTTTTCTTCCTGTAATTTTCACTTTGGTCAGGCAAAGCGAAACTTATGAAATGCAATTTGCTTTCGTGTTGTGTATTTCATTTCATTAATCTTTTATATTCCAGTTAAAAAAACAGTCAGGGTTACGGCCATATAATTTTGAAACATTGGTTCCCGTACGATCACCGAAGTTAAGTAATATCGAACTTGATCTGTACTAAGATAAGTAAGCGTTTGGGAATAGCAAGTGCTTTAAGCTTGGATGCGCGTGTGGTGTAATTGATAATGACCCATAAGTGTTGATCGGAGAGCCGAGTTCTTATTCCCTTTGGGTTTGTTTTATTCACTTACGCGTAAATACCCTTGGGAGAGGTATACATCTACTTCTCTCCTCATCCCAGCTATGGCTTAAGTAGTTTCGATTTGTATCACTAAATCATTATTGTCTATATATATAAAAAAAATCTTATAATTTAAATCTATTTTCTGGTTTTAAATAACCTGCAAAATGTTGATAAACCGTAAAAAATCGATTGAATCAATCAAAACAACCAAAATCAAAACGCTAGTATTTTGGATAAAGTCTACAAAAGTTAAATAGACATATTTTTAATATTGGCTCAGGGCAATATGTCCATTGCCACAGTTATATATTAAGCTCGTCTAAAAAGCCGTAGGTGATACACCTATGGGCGTACGGTCCTAAATCAGAAAGGTCCATTGTACTAAGCACAAGGAGTCTATTATTTTCTGTCATGGCTCGAAGTGAGGGACGGGGGAGCAGTTCCTTTCTTTGAGGTAGATATGCTTTTGAGATTACCTTCATCTTTGCCTAAAGAGACAGGAACTACAAGGCAGCAGGTGGTTTAAATTCAGAGTTTTCCTTCCCTAGACTGGTTTCTAACCAAGGTCGTGTCCTGCTATTTATCCACACCTTGGGGAAGAGACAGATTGATACCTTTCCCGATGGTATTAGAATATGAATGAATGCAATGAGTTCGATTGGATTCCTCAATCCAAGCCGCTACCCCCCACAGTACCTCCATTTAATTAAGCTAAGCTTCGTAAAATTACATAAAGGTAGCATTATAAAGTTACTACCCTGCGCCGACTGAATTTGCTTCAGGAAAATTGCCAAACAGAAAACTAAACGAGCGTTATATATTAAAAGTTATGCAGAATAAAGCGACCTGTGAATATATCTGATATACAACAAAGTTTTGTGACAGAGAGATATTTACTATTTGATTCCTATCAATCTTGCATCTGTCTTTTCAATAAGGTGTTGCCACGAGTCTCTGCAACTTTGAAGGAGTTCTTTTACATATACAGTGCCTTCATTTTCCAGTAACTTCGTCAATTCGTCTCAGCACTTATCTCTTCTTTGGCAGAAGCCGATTGCAGACGTAGATGTATCATATTTAGTAAGTAACAGATGTGAAAAGATACGATTTCTCCGACTGCTGTGTGGAAGCGCAGTAAAATTATGGTTTGCAAAACGCCGACATTTGGTTGGAAGTGAACTGGAAACTAATGGCGTTTTGCATCGGCTTTAACAGGTGCCTCCGCGAAGAGAAATAGTTCGCTTCAAAATGCGTAGGAAGGCTGGAGTTGGGGGGGGTCGGGGGCTAAGAAATGGAAGTTAAAAGATGCCGTTTAAAAGCAAATAGTGAAAGGATGTTTTTGAGCGAAGGACTAATCTATCTACACAAGCGTTAGGTCAGCTTTGCAAACTTTTACGGGTAGAGAGATAAAGTGGTAAAATTTACTCCGAACGGCAAAGATACAAGTTCGATATTATATAAAGAGGGATGAACACGCTTCCAATGTAAATGTACATCGCTTTCTTTATTCGCGGTTTCGCATTCCGCGGTCAGTCCAAGAAATAAATAATAAATTTCGCTTGACAATGATGCTAAAAATATGTATATGTCAAAGAGAAATAGGAAAATGCTTCCTTTAAAAGAGATAATGGAAATCAGAGACTTAATAAAGAAAGAAAATACCGTATATGGATTTGCTCCGTTCCATGATAAAACATAATATTGTATTAGCCGCGGATCTTTCAACGGAGTATAATCTTTTGTTTAATTTTTTATTACCTAGTGCTGTAAATTTCGCACTGTCCATATTTGGCTCATTTTTATTAAATGTTGGTATTTTTTTATTTGCTGATACTTCACCCAAGAGCCACTCAAGGTAGAGGAATACTGAGTTAGATTGTAAGAGGTGGGTAATGTGAAGTGAAAGTGTATTCTGAGAACGAGTAGGATAGATATAGATAGACCCTGGACTTAAAGACATCAAAGCATGGAAGTATTTTCTCGGGAGTTCTAGGGAAGAAGCTGTTTAACGGGAACTTTTTTTTTTTTTTTTATCTAAGGAACGCGAGGGGGATGCAGATGGTTTGACACCATGAGCATGGTATACCGCATCCTACCTGTGAAGGTCCGAGTTTGGTGGTACTAGGTAATGTAACTCGAATATCTGCCACAGTTTGTCTATAGATAAGGTATTGTGACTCTTGCCTGATATGAGGTTTCGTAACTATTTTTTTTTTTAAGCATTACGCCCTGAGCAAGGCGTGAAGCCACTAGGATGCAGGGGGTTGCAGAAGATTTGGAGCAAGAGCAGATAGGAGTGACAGAAGAAAGGCTGAGGAGACGGATAGTGGATAGATCAAGGTAACTGGAGGTGTCGATTGACATTACATTTGAATGGTTGGAAATTATAGCTCTCAGGGAAACAGTAATTGGGAAGGGTGTTCCACAGGCGAGAGGTGCGAGTTATGAAGCTATTGGAGTAGAAGAGACGGCTGCATTTAAAAGTTTCTAACGTGTAAGGGTAGGAGCGGGATGCCAGCCTCATAGGGCGCTTGAATTCATGGAGACTGGGAACCAGTGAAAGCAGCTCATCGGAACAATTACCATGAAAGTATTCGTAGAAAAGACAGAGAGAGGCGTCGGTGCGTCTGTGAGAGAGTGACTGTAGACGAGACGCCAGATCAGGGCCAATTATATTACATACCTGTCTCTGGATCTTGTCAAGAACTCCGAAGTAAACAGAAGGTGCCCCAGACCATATATGGCAGCAATACTCCATGCAAGGGCGAATGGTTGATTTATATATTTGAAGTATCGATTCCGGGGAGAAAAATTTCCTGCCACGGCACAGAGAGCCAACTTTCCTTGCGGTGGAAGAAGCAATTGACTCAATGTATTTGTTCCATCTCAGGTCCGCAGTCAACGTGAGACCGAGCAGATGCAGGGAGTTGCTCTCAAGAAGCTGACTATCAGACATTCTAATGGGGGGCAGGGAAGGATCTCTATGGTGATTAATAGAGAGTAGTTTAGTTGTTTACACTATTTACATTGTTCAGACTGTTTGTCCAGTGGATAAAAGCATTGGTTGAAGTAATTCAGTAGCTTGGCCCAAAGAGTTGTGGGTTCAATACCTGGTCACGGAGGTGAGCAAAATCTTGGTGGGTTATTAAAAGAATATAACTGAAATTGTTATATCCAGAAAACGCATGGCACGTGAAAGTAGAAGAATCTTTCCCGGTATACAAAACAAAGGGTTCGATTCGAAATTCCAAAGGATATCACCTGAAGAAGACCGGAACGTACAACAACCGAAACGTCGTGAATATGACAATAAAGATAAGGACAAGAGTCCGAACAATGTAAATAGTGTAAATCCGTCATAGTATTAGAGATATAGTTATGAAAGGCTGGCGACGTTTTGTCTGTGGGACAGTGGTTGCAGGGTGGAAAATAATTAATCACCCACAAGGCTGCGTAAGCACTTTTAACTTTGTCGAATCTGGACAGTGAGGTCTGCTACAAGAATAAACATAATGCATATAATATTCTATACTAATCAGGGTTTAATGATTTGTTAGTAGATAATGAAGAATATTAACACTCATTCATTACTTAGGGTATATCTTCGTGTATGAGTCGAAAAATATTTTATTTGAGATCAATATTTCTTCCTATTTCCATCAACATCATCATCTATATTTCGTATCAATTCACCCCAATCAAAGCAATAGAGGCACTAAGACGCAATGGTTTACTGAGTGTGAAACAAATATGAGAAAAACCATTATTAAGGAGTGCGAAAAAAAAAAGAACTGCAAATAAGACAATGATTGATATTGCATTTAACTTAAAAGGTTACATCATAATCGCCAGGAGCTAAATCGATCCTCAGAGGATGTTAGCGTTTGCTTTCGTCGTGTAAACAGATGTTTATACCGGCTGCGCTTATGGCGTACAATAGTGCGGCACCTAGATTTAAAAAAAAAAGTTATATAAGCGCCATAGATGTGGTGGAAAAGACAGAGTCTCTCACATCGTCGCGGCTAAATCCATGTTCGGAGAAAGACAACAAATCCACAAACATTCACGCCAATATTAATGGTCCAAGTCAAGAAAGTAATCAACTTCAATTCTATATGCGAAAGATTTAGTCGCATATTCTAATTTATTTACTGAGAATTTCATTTCTTAATTCCTCCACTGAAGATGCTGAAGAATTGTTGGTTCTCTGTGCCGTTCCAGTAAGAAACTGACTTCTCCAGCTATACTCTACCTTTACAAGAGACAGATATCGCTTTTCTATTGCTATTTCCCTGAAAAATCTTCAAACGAACTACATTCCTTAATTCCATCAGCTCTAATCTTCACGGCTAAGATCCACAATTTCACGCACATTGTAGCGTGTGACAGAGAGAGAGAGTCTGGGAACCCCCACACACATACACATATATATTTTTTCTTAGTGAAATTGGAGTAGATTTAAATAGCGAAATTAAATCAGAGCATTTTGTTTACCGATGGGGAAATCTGATCTAGGGCAGAAGTTGTACCCATTGAATCTGGGTCATCAGAAAACAATAGGGATGGTCTAAATAATTTTTATCGATTAAAAATTGAAACAGAGCTGATTAAGCTAGAAGGAACTTTGGAATTCACATGATTTTGGTTGAAGCAGCCAAAACCCCGTGATAATCGCGTGCGATGTAGTAGGACCAGGGTCAGTTATAACCAACCGGGTTTATCTATATAAATGCGTAGTTATGCTGAAAAAGAAAGAGTGGAGAAAATTCATAAAGAGAGAAGAGAGAATTGGCCCGGGCGAGCGTTGGGAGGAGAAACGCCACTATAACTTTAAGCCTCACACAGAAATCTTTATCCCTCCATTGCAAGAGTCATATATAATTCTGAGACGATTTAACAAGATAATCACAAACACTCTCTCTGTGTCTAGAATCCAGTGTATGAGTTTTTTGGGGTTTTTTTACTTTTCTTTTCTGGAACCCGTTTCTCTTTTCTATTAGTCTTTTCTCTTATATAAAAGATATTAACAATTCAACCATTGAATCGGTATTTGTCCAGCTTTCTGCAGATATTAATTTTTTTTTTTTTTTTTGCCGCATTCTAAATTTGTTAGTGCAGACTCCCCAGCCGTGTCTACATCTTCAGTCGACCGTGAATGGACGGACATTACTTTTGCTTTCAGGATCAAACAAATCACAACGTGGGCAGGAAGCAGGATTAAACCAGCGGGCCGGTCAAATAATCTACGGATGCGCAGGGGACCTATGGCCACTCCCTTAATTTCGGTTAGGACCGAGTAGACACCTCAACCCCGAGAGTAAGACGCCGGAGGTTAAGGGGCCGGGGCGAAAGTGTTAGGGCGAACCACCCTCATTCCCTATATATTCCATTGGTGAGAGGTAAGTGTCACTCTAGTAACTTCTTCCCAAGAACAGCTGTTTGTTAAACCGACTCCTAAGATGCTTCTTACTCTATAATTGTCTACCTTGAGTGGACCTTGGACCTTCTACAAAGTGATCATCATTGTCAAAAAATCACTGCCGCCACCCTGGATTTTTTTACGGTGATTTTCACCCTAAACAAGGCCCTGTGGCAGATGGTTACATTAACAGGCAGATAACGGCTAAACTTAGATATGAAAAGATTAAGATTGCAGTGATTGATGAAGCATCCTCTTGAAGGTCTGTTCCCCAGAGCAGTGGCTCGGTGAAAGAAGCCATTCGAGTGAAGCTTACTTGTCACCAGTGGAACAGGAGGGAATATGGTTTCATATAATGTGAGCGACATGATGGGTCCTAGCAGAAAGGGTTAGAAGTAGCGGAACCAAGAAATGTATTTCGTCCGGGTACTTTTCATGGAAGTAGCGATAGAGTAGTGAAAGGCTTGCCACAAATTGCCCGTGAGAGAGAGAGATAGAGAGATAGAGAGAGAGAGAGTTCGGAGGTTGGAAAAAATTTCCCGTGAGAGAGAGAGAGAGAGAGATAGAGAGATAGAGAGAGAGAGAGTTCGGAGGTTGGAAAAAATTGCCAGTGAGAGAGAGAGAGAGATAGAGAGAGAGAGAGTTCGGAGGGTGGAAAAAATTGCCCGTGAGAGAGAGAGAGAGAGAGAGTTCGGAGGGTGGAAAAAATTGCCCGTGAGAGAGAGAGAGATAGAGAGAGATATAGAGAGAGAGAGTTCGGAGGGTGGAAAAAATTTGTCACCCACAAAGACTCAAAAACGTTTCTGGATTCTACCGAAACTGGAGAGTGAGGAATGGTATATTCAAAAATGCACTTGTGGACACAACACACACACACATGACCACAAATATGAATTAAACAAAAGTATTCGAATACTCGGTGAGTGAAGCACTTTAAAAAGTAAGGTAATATATTTCTTTCCGGTTCAGATGACAAAGACTTTGATGGCTTTCAAGAATTTTGAATTGAATTTTTTTTTAGATTATCAAAATTCTATTATTATTAATGACTGATGTATATGTCATTTCGATATTTTTGTAATTATTGTCAATGTTTTTGTTTTTTATTTTGAAAAATTGAATGTATGTATTAACGCATTCGACACAGAAAGATTCGCTTTCATTCTTATCCACTGTCAACGTTTTTAAACGACAGCGTTGATTATTTTGTAGATCATTTCATACCAAAGCAGGGCGTCCCCCCGGCCTTTATGATTGGATTTCTGCCGGTTCTCATTTTCATCAATGACCCCCTCGAGGTCATCACTTCCCAGCTAGGTATTTATGTAGACCATTTACTCTTGTTTTAGTAGCAATTCCGACACACCCGATAAAGTAAAAACGCTAACTGTCCTCGAAAATAACATCCAATTACATTATTTACATTATTCGGACTATTGGCCTCATCTTTGTCGCCATATTTATTACAACGTTTCGCTCCGGCCTTCTTCAGGTGGTTGGAATGTCGAACTGAACACTTTTCTAGTTCCACGTGCCATGTTTAATGGATGTCAGTTATCAGTTACCTCCTGTTAATTCCACTGTCCAAGTTCTCCACTGCCTTTACCGGGTATTGAACTCACACTCTTTGGGTCCTGTAACTAGATCTAATCATCGCCTTTTTCCACTGTGACATGTGTCCTTATCTGTGTATGTATTTCTGGGTATTATAACCTAATGTCATCAGCAACCATTTTTTACCAGTGCTTCTGATGTCATCAGCAACCATTTTTACCAGTGCTCTTAATTTCATCAGCAACCATTTTTACCAGTGCTCCTAATCTCATCAGCAACCATTTTTACCAGTGCTCCTAATTTCATCAGCAACCATTTTTACCAGTGCTTTTAATGTCATCAGCAACCATTTTGATCAGTGCTCCTAATTTCATCAGCAACTATTTTCTACTAGTTCTCCTAATTTCATCAGCAACCATTTTTACCAGTGCTCCTAATGTCATCAGCAACCATTTTTTACCAGTGCTCCTGTCATCAGCAATCATTTTTTTACCAGTGCCCCTAATTTCATCAGCAACTATTTTCTACCAGTGCTCCTAATTTCATCAGCAACTATTTTCTACCAGTGCTCCTAATGTCATCAGCAACCATTTTTACCAGTGCTCCTAATGCCATCAGCAACCATTTTTACCAATGCTTCTAATGTCATCAGCAACCATTTTTTACCAGATATAATACCCAGAAATTCATACACATATGTTCTCAAGGTTAATCGCCCTACATAAAAATCGGCCTTGTGCCACATCTTAATTTGTGGGGAGGTTGGTAAATACCGGTCCGTTGGAGGCAGTCGTTAAGAATTTTAATGACATCACAGCAGGACATAATAGTATAATGGCTAGGAGTGAGTTATAAAAGTGGCGACGAGCGTTCGAAGCTCTTACAGAGTAGAAAAAAGTACTTTTTGCTTTTGCGTACTTGAAAACAGCGACAGCGAGAAATTAGAATCACCTCGGTTTAATATTTTCCTTGGTGTGTAAAAAAAAAACAAAAAAGAGATATTGTTTAAATATGAAAGAATTATTAGCCCAAGTGGCAAAAATTCAACAACAGAATCCGCAACAACAGCAGCAGCAACTACAGCAGCAGCAACAACAGCAGCAACAACTACAGCTGATGTTGGAATTACTGAAACAACAACAAAATATAATTGAAGAAAATGGATAATTCCCAAGTTCTTTCACTCCCGACGCGGTGGCATATGCCATATCTGAATTCCCATACAGTTCAGATAATAGAATTACCTTTTCTGATTATTTTAGTAGGTACGATCAAATTATCACAGAAGAATGCAGAGACTGGGAAGACAAGAAATAAACAAAACTTTTGTTGAGAAAGTTAGCAACCGTAGAACATGAAAAGTACTGTAATTTTGTACTGCCGAAGAAAAAAACAGGAGAAATTTGCTTTGAGTGAACAGTAAATATTCTGACTAACATTTTCAGCGAGAAATGTTCCTTATTCAATACTCGTTGGAAGTGTATTAATATGACGGAAAAGAAGACGAATATCTTGTTACATATGCTAGAATCGTTAGCAAGGAGTTTGAAAGCTTCAAATTAAACGAACTGACTCTGATTATGTTTAAAAGGTGAACTTTCCTGCAAGGCGAAAAATGACGCAGAAATACGTGCTAGAATTCTAACGAATCTTGAACAGAATCATAAACTGACTCTACGAGAAATATTGGACGAATATCAGAGAATCATAAATGTGAGATGCGATACCGAAATTGAAGAAAAAGAATGCACATACATATAATCTAAAGAAAATATAGAAAAAGAAAAAGGAATCCATGTTTCACATGTGGAAGGTTACATCTTGGAGATGACTGCCTTTTTAAGAATGCTGTTAGACATTTTGACGGTCGTCTTCGAGTATAGAATCCAGATGTTAGCAGTGAATATTTCGGAGCAAAGTAGCAGAGCGTAGTACTTCCTTCTGTCATCTTCGCCTGACAAGTTGGCACTGGTCATTCTGGTAGGGTAAACAAAAATGGCAATCAGAAGCCGCAGAACATTCTATCCGTCGTGTATAAACACGACGGATAGAATGTTCTGCGGCTTCTGATTGGTTAACCTTCTATTGGTAGACTATAAAGGAAACTAAGTCATTTTGACTGGCTCACTAGTTATATAACATATACACAAAAAACTGTAACAAATGCAACGTGCTACAAGTGTGGAAAAAAGGACATAAAAAGTAACACTGTAAAACTAAAGCAAGGAAATGTTCTCATAAAAAAATTCGTACCCAGCATTGCGACGGAAAAAATAATTAGAGAAAACCAAAGAAAATTTGTCTATGTGAAAAGTAATAATGTGGATGTAAAAATGCAACTACACACTAGTAGTGATATCACAGAAATCAACAAAGCAACACGGAAAGCAATTGGAAAAAAAACTACCCAAGTGTCAGGTAAGAAATTATTTTTGTAGGCGAAATCACTTCTGACGGTTCATTTCGTAACAAGTGTGTTAAAAAGTCAAAATCTATGCGTATAAATACTACAAAATTATTCGGTATTAACTGGATGGAATTATTTCAGTTATGGGATTTATTTATACATAATTATTGCAAAAATGTAAGTGGACAAGCGACCAGTTAAAAAAAAAACATTGTGAAATTTAAAGGAAGAATTGAAATGTTTTAAAGTCAAACCAAAACTTCAAATGAAAAATGGGTCGACGCCAGCGTTTAAACTGAAACGCAGTGTGCCATTCGCAGTAGTGTCGACGAAGAATTAGACAGACATGAAAAAAATAGGTGTAATTGAAAAAAATAGCCATTCAAAATAGGCAAACCCAGTAATGTACGTAAAGATTAAAAATAATAAAATTCGTGTTTGTGTTGATTTTTTAACAGGGTTAAACAAATGCTTAGAATCGTCATTACTACTGATTACCACATCCAGAGAAAACTTTTGCAAATTTAAACGGTGGAAAATGTTTCCGAAGCTGGATCTTTCTGGAGTGTTTTTGCAAATACTGAATAAAGAAGAATGTTCAGAGTTTATAATTATAAATACATTCATTATTTACATTATTCGGACTGTTGTCGTCATCTTTGTCGACATTCCAACCACCTGAAGAAGGCCGGAGCGTACAACGGCCGAAACGTTGTGATAAATATGGCGACAAAGATGAGGAAAATAGTCCGAATAATGTAAATAATGTACATAATACCTCATCTCAGAAATATAGACAGATAAATACATTCATATCGAAAAAAGAGGATCTTAGCAATTATATATGCAGTGAAAAAAATTCACGAATTTATACACTGGAGGAGTTTTCACCTACAGACGAACCAGCGGCACCTATTGTCAATTTATGTTTCGAAAAAAGGAATTCCTACATATAAAGCAATTAGATGACAACGCTGGTGTGCCATCTTATTAAATATCGATTTCAGAATGGAATAGCAAGCGACCAAAAATTAGAACATGCAGAGGGTTTCTCAAAATTGATACCAAAAAATACTGAACCGTTTATTGCAGAAATAAAAAGTAAAATAGAAATTAAAAAAAAATATATATATATATATATATATATATATATATATATATATAGTAATACGCGAATTAACAGTTGACCTTGAATAAATAAAAGTAAAAGCAGAATAAGATATGTTTATTTCGAGAATAATAAAAGAAAACAACTAAACGAAAGTAAGGAAGATTTTATTTACATTATTCGGAATATTGTCCTCATCTTGGTCGCCATAATTATTACAACGTTTCGGCCCTTGTATGCTCCGGTCTTCAGATGGTTGGGATGTCGAACTGAACCCTTTATTTCGCTCACTGGGGTAGACTGTGCTAGTTCCACTGTGTCATGTGTCCTCAAGTCAGATCCAGTGACAGAACCCAAAGAGTGTGAGTTCAATACCCGGTTAAGGCAGTGGATAACTTTCTGAAGGAAATTAACAGGAGATAACTGATAACTGACATCCATCAAGAACATGGCACGTGGAACTAAAACAGTCTACCGCAGTGAGCGAAATAAAGAGTTCAGTTCGACATTCCAACCACCTGAAGAAGGTCGGAGCGTACAACGACCAAAACGTTGTAATAAATATGGCAACAAAATGAGGACAATAGTCCGAATAATGTAAATAGTGTACATAATACCTCATCTCAGAAATATAGAAAGAAACTGAAAGGCCGAAATGTTATAATATATATGGCGACAAAAAAGAGGACAATAGTCCGAATAATGTAAATAATGTACATGA